CAGAACTCTCCTGAGGTGCCTGCTACTCCCCTCAGCAGTGTACTGCCTCGATCTGCCAGTTCTGTCTCTGGTGAATCCTTTCACCCCCCACACCTCTCATCTGTACCCCAGTTCTGTATGCATAAATACATAAATCTTAAAAAAAAAAAGCATGCTTTGTATGTATGTACTATACGATCCTAAGCATATGTTCCCCTATGCTAATAGTTTGATAAGTAATGTTCAAGAAAGAATGAAAAATTCTGAAGAGACAGGAATGTGTGCAATTCACCATACAGGAGGCTAGGCAAGCAAAGGGGACACTTAATGATACTGAAAAAGAATGTATTAACAGGCTCTCCCTGGTGGCCCAAAGGGTTAAAGCACCGAATTGTGAAGCTCTCCCAACCCACTGCAGCACTAATTCCATCTCATGCCAGGAAGGTGACCCACATGGTGCAGTAGACTTCTGACCAGCCCTCTGCTCCCCTCAGCAGTGTGTTTCAGTCCATCTGCCTGTTCTGTTCCCCACTCTGTCTCTGGTGAATCCTCTCACTGCCCCTGCACCTCTGGCCTGTACCCAGTTCTGTAAGCATAAATAAATCTTTAAAAAAAAAAAAAGGAACGTATTATTTAGGCATAGAGAAAAGTTGGGTAGTGTTAAGTTATATTATTTGTTTCCCGGGAGACAATTAACTGCACTCAGTCAGATCTCCAACCTTCCTAACATGCGTTAGCTGGCATTCTGGGGTAACATGTCTTCCCCTTTACCTCCTTTAAAAAAAAAATTCGTGTGTTCTGCTATTAATGTACGTTAGGGCTGACATTCTCCACCTCCTCACATACTCTGGGAGAGATCTATGTGATTGTGTGAGTGGTCCTACTGCTAAGTTTGATGGACACACATACAAATATGTGTTTGGATAGTTCAACAACTCTAACGTCAAGGGGAAAAAAGAGTAAACTTACGTGCTGTCCCCGAAAATAAAACTAAGTTCAACACTTATGCTTACAGTTCATCTACCTGACTGGGGGAATGTTTTTTAAGATTCATTTATGCATACAAGAACTGGGGTACAGGAAAAGGTGCAGGTGGGTGAGAGGATTCACCTGTGACAGTGGAGGGCAGAACAGGCAGATAGCCCGAATTCAGGGAGCATCGGGCGAGGCAGAAAGGGTCTGTTGTGCCATGTGGGCAGCTCCCTGGACTCTGGAGCTCGTGCTGCTGTGGCTGTGGACAACTTCCCAGTGCTGGGGCTCCCTTAAGACACCAGGAGGTCCCGGGTAATATTTCTTTGAATCCAGAAACTAGGACCTAGAGACAGGCCGCTCTAAAAGGAGCAAAAGCCAAACTCTGAAATATGACGAGGAAGCTGGAGGGAAGCAAGTGCCAAACAACTTCAAAAAAAGTACAAGCCCAAGAAACAGAAACTTCGACAGCGTCTGGACCTCAGCCTCCCGTCTGCAGCCTAGCCCGCCCCGCACCGCCGGAGGCCGCAGCCAAGACCCCGAAGCCGAAGAGAAACCGCGCGCCGAGACGCCGGCACCGCCCGCTGCTTCTTCCAGCACCCGCCTCCGGGTAGGGCGCGTTCCCGAACGCTCCGATTGGGGTGCGGGGCGGGGCGACGCCGTTGTCCACAACAGGAGGCGGCGGCCCACACTTACCGCCAACGCCGGGGCGCCTTCATCGTCGCCGCACGACGGGCATCTGCCCAGGAGGCACCACGCGAATGACAGGCCGTGTCCACGCCAAAGGACACCGGGTGCTGTCAAACCGCTACAAGCCGGACTGCAGTTCCCTCCCCGCCCCCCACTAGAGCCAGGTGGACACGCGCGCCAACGCCGCGGAGCAGGACGCGCACGCGCAGACTTGCCAGACACCCACCAGCGGACAGCGTTGGGCGCCCAGAGCCGGGTTTCCGCCGGCTGCTCTCGGCAGCCTCCCGGGCTACACGCGCCAACGTCCCGACGCAAGCCGACCCGCAAGCACGTACCCTCCCCGCCCCCTTACGCACGCGCCCGCCGGCTCGCACGTGCACGCCCGCGTTCACGGTCGCCATCTGTTGTCACCGCCCCTCCGCGGAGCGCAGCTGCTGTGACGCTTACGCGGAGTCTCTCCCAGGGCTCGAGGAGTAAGGTCTCCTGGGAGATGTAGTCCCGACCTGACGCCAGCGCCACCGCCAGCACGGCTGTAGCCCTAGACAGGTGAGCTCGCGGACTGGGTGGCGCGTGGGGCGGGGGCGGGCTCGGAGCGGCCGCCGTCCGGTGCAGGACCGCGTGGGCTAGAAGGCGCGCGTAGCCGGCAGCGGCCCCTATGACGGGGTCTGTGAGGCTGTGGCGGCGCGGCTAAGCAGGATCGGGCGCTCAACCTCCCCTTGAGGCGCAGTCTCCGGCGCAGCTTGGAGCCATCTGTCCGAGGTGGCCTGGGCGTCTCCAAACTAGGTTCTTGGCCCGCGCAGCCCCGCTCGGGTTGCCATGGAAACGATGGGGCAGCCCTTGCCAGCCGCGGGATGGAGACCTTTTTGTCTCCAGTGTGGTTTACCTCAGCGGCCTTCGAACCTAACCGGCTTCCCTCAAACCGGTGTCGACGCCTGTCAGCCCCGCGATCCGGAAGCTGCGTCCCCGTGCGCCCGCGCCGTCGTCTCTCCCGCGCCCACCGCCGCGGTTCCGCGCAGTCCTCTTGGTCCCAGGGTACGCCTCCAGGCGGGCCGGGCTATCACGCTTGCGAAGGCCTCGCGCGCTGCCGCGTCCGTGAGTACCGGTCCTCACCAGGCCGGGGGCGGGGACGGGGTGGCCCGAGTTCCGCTCCGCGGAGCGCCCTGACAGGTCTACCCGCTACCGCTGCTCCTCGCGTGGCCTGATTTCTTGGTGTTATGTTTACCTCAGTTTTAGGAAATTACCCATTCTGATGGGTCAATCCTGTGGTTGTCTGTCCCAGGGATTTTGAATAATGGGTGCTGCTTCTTTCAGGAATTTTGAATAATGGGTGCTGAACCTTTTTAATTAATCATGTAATTTATCTTTTTTTTTTTTTTTTTTGGTGGCTGGGACGTCTGCTCTCTTTAAGTTATACTGAATTTCATCTTTTTTTTTTTTTTTAAAGATTTATTTATTTATTCATACAGAACTGGGGTACAGGCCAGAGGCTCAGGGACGGTGAGAGGCTTCACCAGAGACAGAGTGGGGAGCAGAACAGGCAGATCGACGAAGTACACTGCTGAGGGGAGCAGCGGGCGGGCCAGGAGAGGTCTGGCTCGCCATGTGGTCTCCTCCGGGGCAGGCGGCAGGCGGGAATCGAACTCATGCGGAAGTGGCCTCAGACTCTCAGTGCTGTGCTATAACCCGCTGCGCCACCAGGGAGGGCCTCATCTTTTTTTTTTTAACTTAATTTACCAAGACATAACTGGTTGATTTTTTTAAAACGTGTAACATTCTATTTATGAGCTAGCTGAAAATTTTTTAATTTTTATAATTTTCAAGCATATAGAAAAATAAAATATTCCAGTCTTGTACTGTGTTTTGTAGAACAAACATGTTATGTTACTTGTAAATATTTCATAATTTACCTCGACTAAGTGTTCCTTTAAAAAATCATTATCGGCCCTCCCTGGTGGCGCAGCGGGTTAAAGCACTGCACTGAGAATCTAAAAGCCGCTTCCGCATGAGTTCGATTCCCGCCTGCCCCGGAGGTGACCACATGGTGTGGCAGACCTCTCCTGACCCGCCCGCTGCTCCCCTCAGCAGTGTACTTCATTGATCTGCCTGTTCTGCTCCCCACTCTGTCTCTGGTGAAGCCTCTCACCACCCCTGCTCCTCTGGCCTGTACCCCAGTTCTGTATGTATAAATAAATAAATCTTTAAAAAAAAAAATCATTATCAAAAGTCCTACCTACAAAATTAGCAATAATTCCTTAATGTCAAATATATAGGCAATGCTCAAATTTGTTTCAAAAATGCTTTTAACTATAAGGTTAATACTGTCACCTTTAAGGTGAGCCTAGAAAAATTATATCAATAGGGCCCTCCCTGGTGCTGCAGGGTGTGGAAGCAGTTTGATCTCCTGCCAGGCAGCTGACCCACATGGCCCAGCAGACTGCTCCTGTCTCCCTGCTGCTTCCCTCAGCAGTATGTTTCAGTCCATCTGCCTGTTCTACTTCTCACTCTGTTTCTGGTGAATACACTCACCCTCCCACCTCCACCCGCACCCCAGTTCTTTTATGCATAAATAAATAAATCTTTAAAAAAAAGAAATATATCAATATCCACTATCCATTTATTTTTCTTGAGGATGCTAATGGTGCTTAGAAATATGTCACTTTCTTTTATACTGCTCTCCTTAGCATTCTATTAAATTCTGGTTTGACGGTGCTCTCCTTTAATACTTTCCTTTAATACTTTGAAGATAGTGTGTGATCTGGCCTCTGTCTCTGAGCTGATAAATCTGAAGTCACTATAATTGATTTTGAAGGTAATTTGCATTTCTTCCTAGTAACTTAAATTTTACTTTCTTTGATAAGTCTGTAGTTTATATTCAGTGTTACTCATGAATTTTTAAAATGTATTCAGTAGGGCCCTCCATGGTGGCATAGCAGGTTGGAGCCATGCACTGCCAAGCCAAGCCAAGCTGTGGTCTCTTCAGTATGAATTTGATCCCAGCCCCAAAGGTGATCCACATGGAGCAGCAGACCTCTTTCCTGTCTCCCCTGCTGCACCTCAGCAGTGTACTCTGTCAATCTGCCTGTTCTGCTCCCCACTCTGTTTCTGGTGAATCCTCTTGCTGCCCCTACACCTCTGGCCTGAACTCCATATCTGTACGCATAAATAAAAATCTTTAAGAAAAAAATTTATTCAGTATGGCTTATGGTATATATACTTGCAGGTCAAGGATCTAATTTCAGTTTAGGACTAAATAAACCATTATCTCTAACATTGCTTTTTTTTCTACTCCTTCTGTCCTTATATTCTGGAATTCCAGTTATTCATATTTATGTCTTTGGTCCATCTGAAATTTCCGAATGGCTGAGGTGGGATTTATGACTTTCCTAAACAGTCATTTGCCCAGAAAGCACTTAATGGTTAGTTTCATCCTTTCTTCTTCTGATTTAAAGTGCCACGTTAGTAAAAGGAAAATATCAGATGATATCATTTACAGGAGGAAACTGAACAAAGGGTCAGGGGGGAAAAAAAAGATAAAACTTGTAGGCAACTACAGATATATGAGGGTAAAAAGCAAGGGGGGGGAGGATTAAGGATCAAAACAGGTGGGAAGAGCTTGAGCCATGGTGATGCTTTACAGGTAGTGTAGTGGCAGGAAATCTATGGGGACTATACCTGAGGGGAGAAATCAAGTACTGTTAAAAAAAAAAAAAAAAAGATGAACACCGTGTAAAAAATTTTTTTTAATTAAAAAAAATTATTTGTGCATACAAGAACAGGGGTACAGGCCAGAGGTGTGGGTGAGAGAATTCACCAGAGACAGAATGGGGAGCAGAACAGCAGATCAAGTAAAAACACTGCTGAGGGGAGCAGCTGGCAGGTCAGGAGAGGTCAGCCATACCATGTGGGTCACCTCCCTGGCTTTGAATTAAACTCATGCTGCTGCAGGGAGCTTCACAGTGCTGCACTCTAACCCGTTGCGTCACCAGGGAGGGCCCTAAGAAAATTTTAATACAAGGGATAACAAGAATAAAGTAATGCCTTTATTATGTTCTAAATATATAGCTACATGAATCTGTTTCAGAGATAATGTTTTTATTTTCTGTTACTGCCCAACTATCATTCTGACCTTTTATTTCAAATCTATCTTTAAAAATACCAATAAAATTCTTAAGTAGAGGGGCCTCCCTGTTGGCAAAACAGGTTAAGCAGCACTGTGAAGCTAGCCATAGCCACTGCAGCACAAGTTGGATCCCAGGCCAGAAGGAGGCCCACATGGTACAGCAGACCTCTCACCAACTGCTCCCCTCAGCAATGGATTTCAGTACATTTGCCTGTTCTGCCACTCTGTTTCTAGTGAATCTTCTCACCCCCCACATTCTGACCTGCATCTCAGCTCTTGTATACATAAATAAATAAATCTTTAAAAAAAAAAAAAACTGTTAAGTAGGGTAACAGCCAAATCAACAGTAAGTTTATTCAGATAAACACCAGTTATATAGAGAACAAATAAATTTTAACACTAGGTACATATAATACAGATAAATTTTAAGTTACTAGAGATTTATAAATGTATTTCTGAAATATAGTAGGGCATAGAATTATTTTACTAATTGCCTTGTTTAGATCCATCTTTTTTTAAAGATATATTTGTTTATGCATACAAAAGTTGGGGTGTGGGCCAGATGTATGGGGTTGAGAAGGTGGACTACTGAAATACACTGCTGTGGGGAGCAGCAGGTGATCAAGGAGAGGTCTGCTGTGCCATGTGGGTCAGCTCCCAGGCTGGGGTGGGGAATTGAACTTGTCCTACAGTGGCTGGCAATAGCTTAATAGTGCTCAGACTTAACCCAATGCACCACCAGGGAGACCTGACACCTTCATTTTTATAAATCTTTTAACGTTCCAAGAAATCACAGATTAGAAAAAGTTCCAATGTAACTCTAGTTTGAGAAAAATGGAAATGTTAATGAGTCTTACCATACATGAGCATGGTGAATCTTACCATTTATTCAGCTATTTTTTCCTATTTCATAATGTTGATTAGGTTTTGAAATTAGTACTGTAACTAGAAAAATAAAATTATGGGGAATGAAAGAATGACTCCACAGTATACTTTTTAGCTGAACTATTTTACCAGAAGGCAAACTTAACTTCCTTTTTTGGAGAGGAAGCCTTAAACAAAGTTTCTGACTTTGTTTTACTTCTGAAAGAAGGGTATGGAAGTGAAAAAATAACTTCCCCACAAAACCTTGTCATATGATGGGAAATAATCTAAGTTCTTAGAATATAGCAATGAACAAATCAGATTAAAAAAATCTTTCTCTATACTTACCCCAAAGTGTCAGATTTTATACACATTTCTGATTGAGGGGTATAAAATCTGCATGCCAGAGATCTTTGTCTAAATTAAAAATGCCAATTCTATAATTTTGTTCATTAAAAACTAAGCTCTGATGGCACATGGGTGATTTGGTGATAGGAAGCCCATGGGGATTACAACTAAGATGGAAAAAGGCACAAAATGACGTAAAAGTAAAAAACAAGTAAGTCTATCTAAGCTCTGGGGCCGTACCTGATAGTGCAACGGGTTAGGAAGCAGTACTGCAAGCTAGCCACAGCCCCTTCAGTGCAAGTTCAGTCCCTAGCCCAGAAGGTGATCCACATGGTGCAGCAAAGCTCTTCTCTCACCCGCTTCTCCCCTCAGCAGTGTACTTCTTCAATCTGCCTGTTCTGCTCCCCACTCCATCTCTGGCCTATACTCCAGTTTTGTATGTATAAATAAAAACATCTTAAAAAAAAAAAAAACTAAGCTCTGTTGAATAATACTGAGGTGAAGTCTTGAATTTGAAGGCTAATCTTCAGAAATTGAGAGCTATAAAGTTATCAGCATAATTATCCTATGATTTGGTGTGGTCCTTAAAATATGCAAAAATTCATCTTTTGTATTAATACTATGTTATTTTGTTACTTAAAGACCTATTATAAGATCTGTTCAATAAAGTACTATATAATCTAATATTTTTAACAGTATTAAGGCCTCCCAAAGCTTGAACACAGGCCATGCTTCTTCCTTGATTGATTCCATTTAAGTTCAACATACAATAAATGATCATAAGAAAATACAGTTCTTGGGGAGATGTTAATAGACTGAATTAGCAGTAATCAAATGAACATTTGTTTCAAAATCACAAGTCTAATTTTAACAACTACCATAAAATTCTTACATAGAGAAGCAACCAAGTCATCAGCCCTATTAATCGTAGATGAGGTAAACATTAAGTGTTATCTAGAAACAATAAGTTTAACTAAAACATATTTAATGAGAAAATTTTCTATTTCTAACAGTTAGCTAAAAATAACAATATGCATGAAATTTAAATTAAACAGCATGCCCTTTCGACCAGTTTTCTTTAACTTTAGTTTTGTTGTCCCAATAATGCATGCTCCTTTCACCCAAGACTGAGAAGTATTCTGCAGAGGCAATTACAAATATCAGGATGACAGTTCTGTAAGAGGTCCAAAGATGACTATATTACATGTCAACAAAAACCCCAGTGAAGGAATCCCTGGTGGCGTAGCGGTTAAAGACTCAGCACTATCAGGCTAATGCCAGCCACTGCCATAGCATGAGTTTGAGACCCTGCTGGCCAGGCAACTGACCTGCATGGCACAACAGAGCTCTCCTGTCTCCTAGCTGTTCCCCTCAGCAGTGTACTTCAGTAGATCCACCTGTTCTGCCACACACTCTTTAGTGCATCCTCTCACCCCCACACCTCTGGCCTACACCCAGTTCTTGTATGCAAAAATAATTATTTAAAAAAAAAAAACAGTGAAGATGTTAAGCTAGTCAAACTTTACTGGAAAGAAGGAAAGACTATAATTTTTTTTTTAACTTTGCCTCCAGTGGACACTGCCTGCACTGCTCTTACCTAAACCCATTTCTTTGGCTACAAGAAGGAAATGCAGCCCTGCTGACTGGATCAGAGAAAAAAGAAACATCCTGATCTGTACCCTTCTGTGCAGGTAACAATTTCAGGTTCATATAAGATGTCAACCATTAATCTATTTCCCCTCTGACCTCTGCCTGTTTCTCTGTGAGAAATAATGACATGGAAAGGATGGTGCTGGGACTTTCAACAACCTGGTTACAGGGAGCAGTGAACTTTAAAGATGTGGCTGTGGAATTTACAGAAGAGGAATGGATGATGCTGGACTCTACTCAGAAATATGTACAGAAATGGGATGTTGGAAAACTACCAAATCTCACCTCAGTGGAATATCATTTATACAGTCTTGGTGTGACCTCTCTGTTGGGTCAAGAAGAGCTAAGAACTATAAGAATTTCCCAAGACACCTGTTTAGAGTGGAAGATTCAACTTATAACCAAAGAACCAACTCCAAAGCAGACTATTTTTTTGGCAAAATCATTCAGTGGAGTGAAAATAACTAGAATGGCTGACATATGTCCTCCACAGTAAGAAAAGACTGGGAGTGCCATAAGATCAGAAAGCAACATGAGAGTCCAGAGGGAAATACAAGGTAAGTGACATCTACCTAAAAGAAAAGAGCATCTCAGGAGAGAGACTCTGTCAGGAATTAGAGGAAAGCTCTCAATTTAGATCAAAGACTGTTTCTCACAGAATTGCTACCCATAAACATTCCTGCAAGTGTTACTTAGATACTGAATGCTTGGAACATAATCCAATTCTAGATAATTATAAGGAAAATTCTTTAAGGGAGCACCTCTGTGAAAGTTATGAATATGATGGAGCTCTGTGGCATCTTAAAAAAAAATCAAACACAAAAAGAGTGCTTGTGCTCCAAAGACATCAAACATTATATGCTTTCTGTACATAACAGCTTTCATATGGTGGCAAATTCCTGTGAATACAGTTAAAAACAAAACCTTTTGCCATCATTCATCTCTTAAGCAACAAGAGCAAACTCCTACTGGAGAGAAATATTATGAATGCAATCTATGTGGAAAAACCTTCAAAAGAATTTCTAATCGTACTTTACACAAGAGAAGTCATGTGGGTAAGAAACAGTATGAATGTAAAGAATGTAGTAAAGTCTTCAGTGATTCCTCAACCTTAAGGAGACATAACACAAACTCACACTGGTGAGAAACCCTATGAATGTAGTTATTGTGGAAAAGCCTTCAATACAAGCTCTCACCTTAGAGTTCACAATAAATACATACTGGAAAAATCTGTATGAATGCAGTGATTGTGGCAAAGTATTTAGTTGTATTTCATACCTTAGCCTTAGAATGCACATGAGAACTCTCACTGGGGAGAAACCCTATGACTGTGAGGAATGTGGGAAAACCTTCAGTGTTTCTTATTTCCTTAGGAGATATGTGAAAACTCACACTGAGGAGAAACCCTATGAATGTATTCAGTGTGGAAAAGCCTTTAGTCAGAGCTCTTCACTTACTATACACAAGAGAGTTCGTAATGAAAAAGAAACCCTGTAAGAGCTAAATGTGGAATTGCCATATTAACTGTCTCAAGGTGGACTCCAACTTCATCAGCTCAGCCTTTGTTCTCTAAAGTATTCAAAATCGTAAATAGTCTTTCAAACACCCCTTTAGCTAGCTAGATAGCACACTTGGTCTAGGTCTGTTTCTAAATTTTGTCTGGTCAGTATGACATTTCTGACCCATACTGTTTAGAATGATGAGTTTCTAATGTATGATTTTCTGCTTCTTACTGTTGATTTATAAGCTACTTGCCTTATGTTCAGAGTGGACTACAGTTTACTATTTTACTGGTACTTTCTTGAGAGTTTCTTTCTGACCTTACGTGACAGAGTAGCCAACTGAATATCCAGGTCAATCCTCCCTTGTTTAGAATGCTGTGTTAGTTCACAATACCATTATGTCCAGTCACAAAAATCTTTTCACAAGTGTAGTTATAGCTATCATTCCTAAGTAAACAAAAACAGATAATATCCTTGGAGACAAACTTTTTTCCCCTCTGCCTTTTTAATTGATAGTTCCTACTATTGACAGCCATGGTCTATAAGTCATGTAAAAAAAGCAATCCTGCTGTTATAAAATAAAAAAAAAAAAAAGTAATCCTGGTTCCTCAAAGTAATCGCAGTATATTAAGTCAATAAAACTACTGTGTGTTTCACGTTCTGAGGCATGAAGAGTTAATGTTTTATGTTGGACGTATGAATTTGAATAAGAACCTAGAAAAAGAAAAAATTGTAGACAGGATGTTTGTGGCTAGGCTAGGAGCTAAGGTTATTGAAAACACATGATAAGAGAAGCAAGAAGGAAATCCCAACATTTCAGTATCGGAAATCCAGAGTTTCTTAAATTGTCAGTTTTTTTTTTTTTTTTAAGAATTATTTAATAATGCATAGAAGAACTAGGGTTAGGCCAGAGGTGATGGGGGAGAGGATTCACAAGAGACAAGAGTGGAGAGCAAACCAGGCAGATCTACTAAAATCCATTACTGAAGGGAGCAGTGGAGAGGCAGAAGTCTGCTGCGCCATGTGGATTAGCTCCCTGACCAGGGATTGAACTCAGGGCATAGTGGTGCTAGTGCTGAGACTTAACCGGTAGGCCACCAGGGAGGCCCTGTAAATTCAGTTTTATGTGCTAAATGAAGCCTTTAAAATTTTCCTTACAGATATTGACCAGATTATTTCTAACTTACTAAAGAATTAAAAACTGAAAGATGCTACATATCAGAATAGGCAATGTTGTAGTTCCAGCCATACAAACGTCTTAGTTGGAGGTGCCCACAAAGATATGTTAAATGCAGCTCAAGGGCCCTCCCTGGTGGTGCAGCGGGTTAAAGCCCCTGTATTAAGAAGCTAAAGTCACTTCATCATGAGTTCAATCCCCACTCTGGAGGTGATCCACATGGTGGGGCAGACCTCTCCCAACCAGCCGGCTGCTTCCCTCAGCAATGTACTTCGTCAGCCTATTCTGCTCCCCACTCTGTCTCTGGTGAATCCTTTCACCACCCCTGCACCTCTGGCCTGTACTCAAGTTCTGTATGCATAAATAAATCTTTTTTTAAAATGAAGCTCAATATGGTATAAGATGGAAGTAAAAGGTCAAGCAATATCAATACATTAACTAAGATTGCATAGGGGGAAAGGATGACATAAAAGATATCTGACTAGGATGACTGCCTATATTGAAAGGCAGGATAAAACAAGGAACTTTAGCAGAGTAGAGGGAAGCCAGGTGTTTTTCAGAACAAGAGGAGATAAGTAAGATGGGTATGCAGGCAGTTTAATTATGGCCATTAAGGCCTCAGCTTTGAAATGCACTCTCAGGCAATGTTAAGAACATTCTGTAGGCTGCCGGGCACCACAAAGGAACACCTGTGTGGACCAAGCCCTGTGTGCACATTACTCTGGACTAGGGCATCCTGGCTCCCAGACACCATAGATGGGCAGAATCAACTAGATAACAACCACTCCTGAAATTCTGGTAACACAAGAACACAGAACACTAGCCCTTTTGAGACCCCTCTGTCCAGAGAGCTTCCTGTTATCTGACAATAAACTTGTTTTTGTCTTACTCTGGTCTTGATCTCAACCCTTTCCTCACTATAATAGGGACCGAAATTGCTGCTGAGGTCCAGCTCTGGGATCCCAGCACAATTCCAGACCAAGATGTGTTTCAAGAAGCAAGATAAGGGCGGGTTTTTGTTATTTACAAGTCAAATTAGGTGGTCTTTAAAAACATTTTGGATCTACCCAAAGGACACAAAACCATTAATTCAAAGAATACCTGCACCTCTGTTTACTGAAGGACTGTTTACAATAGGTAAACTATGGAAACTACCCAAATGCCCAAAAATACATAACTAGATCAAGATGTATATATGCACAAAGGACTACGTTCAGCAATCAAAAAAGATAAACGCGTGCCATTTGCAGCAACATGGATGGAGCTAGAGGGTATGATGGCTCAGTAAAGTAAGTCAGAAGGAAAATAAAAATCTCAAATGGTTTCATTTATAGGGGGAATATAGGGCAAACAAATAAAACTCTAAATCTGCAGGGGCTGGGGAGGGAGGAGTATGAAAACGACAGTGCGAAGAGCATAAGGGACTATGGTCATGGTGCACAGATGAATTGGTAGAAAGTCTATGGGGACTACACCTAATGTATATATATAATTTATTTTAAAAATAAACATTCTGGAACATGAAATCAGCAGCATAGAAATAATGCACTGAAGGGGCCTTGCCAGTGGGCTAGGGGTCAGTCTCAATGCTATCATCTCAATGCTATCGCCAGGGAGCACAGCACAGATCTCTCCTGTCTCCCCACTGACCCCCTCAGCAGTGTACTTCAGTGGACCCACCTGTTCTGCTCTCCATTCTGTCTCTGGTGAGTCCTCTTGCTCCCTGCACCTCAGTTCTACACAATCCACACAAAATTAAAACCTTTTAAAAATAATAATAAAATACTGCACTGAAGATCAGAGTTAGGTTGGAAGGGAATTAGGAATCAGTAATGAAGGACTGAATAGAGGCAGGTTTGAATAGGAATATGACAGGTTAGTAGCTGGAAAGTTGGTCAAGGGGAATTCAAAAACTAGTACATGAAAATCCTCATGTGACATCCAACATGGGCAGAATACCCATGCAGGCACAAGGATAGATGAAGCCATAGTTCTTGAGACAGGTATGTAGGTATCAAGAGCACAGCTAGGACTCATATTTCTGTAAGAAGGTATTTTCTCAAGTTGTTCAGTTTTACTATGTTGTATCTGTCCTGTTACAGATATACTGCAAGTTGCTTATCTAATATACATTTCCTTTTCCTACTAAAAGATTTTAATTTGCACACAGCTGAGGTGTAGGTCAGGTGCAAAGAGTGAGAGGATTCACCAGAGACAGTGGGGAGCAGGACAGGTGGATCCACTGAAATACACTGCTGAGGGGAACAGCAGAAGATACAAGGTCTGCTGCACCCAGTAGATCAGCTTCCTGGTAAGGATCGTACTCAAGCCAACCCAACGTTGATACCTAATTAACCCCCTATGCCACCAAGGATGTCCAACAGCCCATCTCTGATGTGATTATATTAAGTTTCCTCAAGACAGCCAACTAAGTTAACGCAAGGAAAAGGGGAATACTTACAGATGTTGAGGACATAAAGGAGTTTCTAATTCCTTGGAACTCTCAGAGGGCACCACAGAAACCATTTCTAGAAGGGCAGGTACTCAGTATAATCACTTGTAGCACCAGGGCTACAAAGGACTGTCATGTTGGGGGCACTGTTAGGGGAAGTAATATCAGAGCCGGGGTCAGTGTGACCACAGTGAGAACAAAAACAAGAATAGATTAAATCCTGTAAGGCTCTGAAAAGGTGACAGATACTTAGATCTAATAGCGTTCAAGGGTTCACATGCAGGTTAGGAGAGCCTGGCAGTTGTGCTGCGGAATTGTCTGTTTCTGTACAGAGGTGACAGCAGCCCTCAAGTGTGCTGCAGAAACAAGCAGCAGTTAAAGATGCCCTCACCCCAGTGAGAATGGCACATCTTCAAACAACTAGCAACAACAAATGTTGGCGAGTATGTGGAGAAAAAGGAACTCTCCTGCACTGCTGGTGGGAATGCAAACTAGTACAACCACTATGGAAAACTGTTGGAGGTTCCTCAAACTGCTAAACATGGAGCTTCCCTATGACCCAGCAATCCCACTGCTAGGTATCTACCCAAAAGACACAAAAACACTGATTGAAAAAGATACTTGTACCCCCGTGTTTATTGCTGCTTTATTTACAATTGGAAAAACATGGAAGCAGATGGAAGCAGCCCAAATGCCCAAAAGTAGATGACTGGATAAAAAAGATGTGGTACATAGATACAATGGAATATTACTCAGCAACCAAAAAAGAAAAACACATGTCTTTTGCAGCAACTTGGATGGAGCTGGAAAAGATCATGCTTAGTGAGATAAGCCAGAAAGAGAAAGAAAAATACCGGATGGTTTCACTCATAGCAGGAGTATAATGGACCAGGCGAGAAAATAACAAAAATAATGAACAACCATATACCAGAGACATTTTGCGGGGATGTAGTGGGGAATGGGATCAAAAACGGGGGGGTGGAGAGGGAAATGCACGGGATTATGGTGATGGCACACAGGTGACTTGGTGATGGGAAACCCGCGGGGATTACAATTGAGATGGAAAAAAAATGTACAAAATGATGTAAAAATAAACTTTTGTAAAAAAAAAAAAAAAAAAAAAAGATGACCCCAATGCATGTGGCATGTGGACACGCTCCACACGGTGGGGGAGTAGGATTTATGCACTAGTTTCAGCCCAAAATTCTTGGGACACTGATAGCAAGACACTCAGGCAATCTCTCGCAGCACCTCACCTGGACTTTACTGCCACTTTCCCTGATACAAATCATGGAAAATTCCAATTACCAGTTACCTGGCTTTAAATTCAGTCCATAGAATGAAATGAAATGCAGCCACTAAAATGTGTGTTTATTGACATGTAAGGTGTTTCATATATTGATTTTTTTATTTACAATGAAGCATGATCATCTTTGTATAAATATATATAATGCTAATATATATACATGCATTGAAAATATCCTAAACACCAAAGATGTGTTATCAGTGGTTATTTCTGAATCATAATGTTTTTTCCTTTTACTTGTCTGTTAAGTTGCATAATGTACATAGTGAACAGAGTGAAGTTGTCTTAAAAGTTGTCCCATCATGAACCTCTAAAAAAGTAATTTTCAAAAGCATGCTTCTGACTTACTTAAATTTGTAAATAATTTGCTTCGGCTATATTGGCTATATAGATTCTATTCATGAGGGAGATAAAAGCACAAATTCTTCATTTTCTGAAATATGTTACCACAAATTAAGAGAAAACGTTTTTGGATGACCTATGTAGTTCACAATATCAGATGAAGGAAACTTTAAGGCAAAGTTCTTATTTGTTATAAAGTGATTCAGGTATTTTATTTCTTGTGAACTGAACTACTACCTGCACAGGCAAATGAATAGATAATGTAAGCTATATTCACAGAGAATACTATTCAGCCTTAAAAAGGAATGACCTTGAGGACATTTTCATATACACATGCGCATACCAGCGCATACACAATTGACAGGCTATGTGTTTTATTTCTAGGAACGTCCTATGTATCACTACTCCTCACTTGGATTTTTATGTTAATTTCATTCTATCATATCAAGATCCATGATTCCTACTGAACTGGAAACCCTACTTCCATAGTAGAACCTCCCATGTCATCTCCACCTAGAGAGGACAGGTCCTAAAGAGCTCTTCACTGTTATTTTCTAAATCCTTAAAGGGAACATCTTCTGGGCTTTTCCAGGCTATGCAAAATCCACAAAATAGATCCGTCTTACAGAAAATTTCGTTATAAAGTGATTCAGGTATTTTATTTCTCGTGAACTGAACTACTACCTGCACAGGCAAATGAATGGATAATGTAAGCTATATTGCAAGGGCTGTAATTCCTCAGACCTGTCATCAGGTATGACATTTTTATTCACATATTTTGAAGCTTTCCAGCTGCACTCAACCAGAAGCTGGAGAACCAGAGTCAAGGGTAGCTTTTTTTCTTTTTCTTAAAAGTAAGTTAGTAAATATTTTAGCCTTATGGGTCTGTTGCAAATACTTAACTCTGCTGTTATAAAAGGAAGTAGCCAGACAGTATGTAAAGGGCTGGCTCATGGACTGAAGCTTGAAAACCTCTGCTGTACTTCATTCTGCTGCAATGCAAACAGGCAAACGTATATGAGCATAGGGTGGAGTGGGGATCAGGAATATAAAGTGTATGAATCCGGTATGCCAGGAAATAGACATCTAGATTTATAAATGAGTTTTTCATGTTCTCCATAATATTGCTAACAGCTCAGAGTAACATTTTCACCCTTGTGTAAGCCACTGTCACTCTAGAAAACCAAGCCAGACAGCAGATCGTTTTCAGATAAACCTCCTAAGCAACTCTTATAGACAGCTGGAAAGCTTCAAAATATGTGAATAAAAATGTCATACCTGATGATAGGTCTGAGGAATTACAGCCCTTGCAATGAAACATTTGTATCTCTAGCACATGTAACTAGGGCTCATTGAGACTAAAACACTCATAAATCCTACCTCTTCAAGATGAAAATACAACAGGAGATATTTACTTAAGAACACCTTCTACAAATATGCCCTCAAAGCAGCATCTACAATACAGAAGATAATACAATAAAGTAGCTTTTATCTACATTACCTATTTCTTTCTACAAAATTGCTTACCTTCAGGATTTAAGCCAACTCATCCTGATGGTGTGAGCTTTGTCAAGTAGCTGACCCCAAAGTAGTTTTAAACATGTGCTTGCAAAAGAAATATTTTCACTGTAAATGGAACCGAAGAAGGAAACTACCTTGGTGTTTTCCTGTGATATGCCTTATTTCCATTTATTTCAGACTAAGAAATGTCTAATCAGACTCAAGGATAAACATGAATTAGCAAAACCTAAAACACAAACTCTATCTCAAAGGTAAATTCCTAAGAGACATAAAAATGTTTCTATATATTTGAGTAGTATTTCCACAAAAGCACACTGCATTTCATTACTGATGTCAATATTGTAGTAGCTGAATTTTGGGACTCACCTATACTGTGGGGAGAAATTCAGCAAGTACCAGATTAGTTTACTAAAACCAAAAGATTTATTCATAGCTATCTTTTTTCAGTTTGCTTTAGACGAAAGCAAAATACCCTCCCCCCAAAATTTTTTCCACACTGCTTCCCTCCAGTATGACTCCCTAGACCTTTTTTGCCATACCCATTATAATGTCAGCTTCTGCCAAATATAATTCTTGAATACTGCAGCGTCACCCTATACTCAATTCATTTGGGGAGTTGCTTTTACTCTGAGGAAAATATTTAAAATTTTAATAAATATTGCATGGTACATGAAAGGATTCCCTAATCATACTGTATTTTATTTCAGTATGAATTTTCTGATGTTCAGGAAAAAAATACACCCTTACCTTTGCATTCTACCAACTTAGAATGCAAAATGTAGACCAATTTCTAATTTAAAGCTGTCTTATATTAGACATGTGTCCCTTTCTGGTAAAATTTTACAATGTAGATCAAGAGGATCCTACCAGATAGTCTTCTCAATATTGACTGATTTCATCTTCTGGTATTACAAAGAGCAGTCATTTATGGCTTTCCACACATACTTCTGGGTTTTCTCCCAAGACACTGAATAAGATATGAAGCACAATTCTTCACATTCACAAAGGCTTCTTTTTAAGAATTTTCTGAAGTCAAAGTAAGGCATTAACTGCTTCAAAAACAGAAATCCATACATTCTTAGGTTTTCGCTATGGTGCGAATTCCCTGATGTTCAGCAAGGAATGAGTGGTAATTAAATGAGCCTTCATAACCAAAGGGGTTCTCCAGAGCATGTGTTCTCTGATGTTTAGCCAGATTTGAGCTGCAGCTGAAGGATTTATTGCATACCTTACACACATAGGGTTTCTCCCCAGTATGAGTAATCTGATGTAGAATAAGGGAAAAACTCCGACTGAAGGTTTTGTCACACTCGGTACAAGCATAGGGTTTTTCACCAGTGTGAATTTTCATATGTTGCATAAGCGATGCATGCCATGTGAAAACCTTACCACATTCATCACATTCATAGAGCTTTTCTCCAGCATGAATTCTCTGATGTTTGATGAGGAATGAGTGGCAACGGAAAGCTTTCCTGCACTCACTACACTCATAGGGGGTTCTGGTGGTATGAATGCTCTGGTGTCGAGTGAGGTGTGAAGAACGACGAAATGCCTTCCCACATTCAATGCATTCGTAAGGTTTCTCTCCAGTATGTGTTATCTGATGGCGAATGAGTTCTGAGCCACGGCTAAAGGCTTTCCCACATTTCCTACACAGGTACTGTTTTTCTCCTATGTGAATTCTCTGGTGTCGAGTGAGGTTCGAGGCACGGCTAAAGGCCTTCCCACACTCTGTACATTCATAGGGTTTCTCCCCAGTATGTGTCCGCTGGTGTTCAATGAGGAATGAAGGATAACTGAATGTTTTGTTGCAGTCCTTACACTCATGGGGTTTCTTCTCAGTATGTATCATCTGATGTTTCACAAGGTTTGAGATCTGGCTAAAGGTTTTGCCACATTCCTTACATACATATGGTTTCTCTCCAGTATGAGTCCTCTGATGTAACACAAGGGAAAAGCGCCGACTAAATGTCTTTCCACATTCATGGCATCCATAGGGCCTCTCCACAGTAGTGATTCTCAGATGTTGTGACAGAGCTTTTTGATGAGAAACTGTCACTTGTCTGATACATTCCTGACGTCCCTGAAGCATCTCAGTTTCATCCTCACATTTCCAGTCAACTGTAAAACTGGGATACTGAGGGTCTTGGCTTAGGATTCTTTCCATCAACAGATACTGGGGTGAGTTGTCTTCATACAGGACATTACTGGGAGGAAACTCTTTGATCTCTTCATTTGACTCTGAAACTGAAAGAGAGCATGTGTTTTTCTTTTTACTTTTATCTTGAATAAATTTTCAATAAGAATGAAATTGAAAAAAAAAAAAAAACCTTAGTATAGCATCATTTTCATTGTTGTCATATGCAGCCTTGAAATCTGAGCAGTTACCCAGAAATTCAGAAGATATCAGCAGAGAGAAATATGAGGATAAAGAGAAAAAATAACAGTAACTGAAGGTCAGAGTATAAAAGTATCAAGAAGATATCTGGGAAGGACAGGTTGTTAGAATTCTTGGCCTCCATTTAAATTTTATTTGCTATGAGAAGTGCTTGAAAAAGCCAATTTCATAATCTGTCAATTAACTAAAAATTTTCTTCAGGTACCACAAAAATATTAAGAGTATATTAACTAAGCATCTTTGGAAAATCTTATAGTCACTACTTTAAGTAAGTAAATGAAGTTTCTCAAAAAAAAAAAAGCTTCTATGACCCTCACTTAACTCAACTTTCCAAACCAGTATCTGAAGCTCACCTTCAGTAAAATTGTCTTTTTATCAGATGCTTCTTACATATACACATAAGCTCTAATTTTCTTTAGGCTACATTTTAGGAAGAGACAAGTAAACTTTTTTTTTTTTTTAAGTTTTTTTCCTAAAATTTATTTATGCATACAAGAACTGGGGTGCAGGCCCAGGTGCAAGAGGCTGAGAGGATTCACCAGATAAAGAATTGGGAGCAGAACAAGTAGACTGACTGAAGTACACTGCTGAGGCCCAAGACAGGAGAGGTCTGCTGTGCCATGTGGGTCAGCTGCCTGGCCAGGAATTGAACTCAGGCTGCAGTGGCTACTAACTTCACAGTCCTGAGACTTAACCCCTTATATACCGGGGGGAGGGGGCAGAATTCTGATTTTTTTAATACCTATCTAAATCAAGACAGGTATTATCTATAAAGGGACAAAAATTAAAAGATTAAGAGATTAAGATAGGGAAAACAGTGAAATAACTGTTAAGAAAGTGATGATCTCAGGCCCTCACTAGTGGTACAGTGGGTTGGAGCACAGCACTATGAAGCTAGTAGCAGCCACTTCAGCACAACTTTAATCCCCAGCCATGGAGGTGACCACATGACATGAAAGGTCCCTCCTGTCTCACACTGCTCCCCTCAGCAGTGTATTTCACTCAATCTGCCTGTTCTGCTCCCTGCTCTATTTCTGGTGAATCCTTCACCGGCCCTAAACCTCTGACTTGCATCCCACTTCTGTATGTATAAATCTTTTTTTTTTAAATGATGATCTCAATTTAAAAAGAAAATTTTGAATTCCTTATCTGCTGAGCATTCAGTAAGATACCTAGGTAGATAAACAGAATAATCTCTTCAGGAGCTGAGGCCATAAGAGAAATAAAACACACAACGAAATATGGTGTAAGTAAAAAGATTGAGTTCACTACATTTAGAGTAAAAACTGAATTAGAGATGAGACACAAGAATTAAGCAGATAAAGACTTCTTAAGTCAGGAACTGAAAGACTCACTAACATGAACCTGAATATTTCATGATATTAAAAAAAGCCATTGCAGCTAACCGCACAGACTCAGTACACCATGCACTATGATTTCTCAGCTCACCAAAAAGCATGAAGCACAACCAAGAACAAGGTATAAATGAATTGCTGATTACAAATCCCTCACCTCCCTCTGTCCTTCAGAGACAACCTCACTTCTTCCATTCCATGACCATACCTACTGGTACACACATAATGGACTTTAAAAGACTGAACACATAGACTTGTTAAAAGTCCAGAGGGATACAACTATTTATTTGTAATCTAACAAAGGATTCTTATGCTAAATCAGCATAAAATTCTCAAAGCAACATTTTTAGATGTAGTTATGCTTCCCTATGAGAAAAGACTGTTCTATTGTCAGTATTAAGGTCATAAAAAGAAGTATTCAATGTATTGTGGAAACAGGAAAGTCAATGAAAATGCACTAACAGGGATACTTCTGGTTTTGGTCCTGCAAATATGATCTTACCACTCAATCCTAACAAGTAAAAAGTGAACTAAAAAGCCATTGACTCTTACATGTGTTAAGAGATGTGAGGCCTCAGAGCAAACCACTACCCCTCAAATTGGAGAAACAGACAGGAGTTTAGGGGATCACAATCTGCCAGAACAGAAACCTGTGGAAATCAGGAGCCTGTGGGACAGGACTGAACTGAACTGGATGGAGCCTGTGAGCAAAAACTGAAGAGAGCCCCAACACTTTCGTAAGTTTACCTCTAGTATTTCTCTCTAGTCTTCACCAGGAATATCAAGAGAAAAGCCCTCTCCTGCTTTCAGCAGGGGAGAAAAGGAACTAAGTGAAATATGTCAGAGGATTCTGTTCCTATTAACAAGTTTGCCTTTAGAAGAAACTATTTTACTGGGAGGCCTAGCATACCTGGGAGAAGGGAGACACTCAACCCTAGCCCCCTCTAATCATCCAATGCCACCAGGTGGGAAAAGAAACACTGGCGTTCACACAGCAAGGCACAGACAGACCAATCACAGGGCCACAGACTGCTTCCACTTCCCCTCCAGAGCCGCCATCTCACTAAAGGACTATTCACCATATGGAAAAATACTGAAAAAATTAATAAAGAGCCCACAGGACACGAGCTTTCAGGCCTGGTGCAATTAGCATTCCAACGTAGGCATGATTAACAGGTTTGCTTACTTACAAAGATTCATGACCACTCTTAATGCACTGAACAAAGTTACATTTCAGAGAATCAGATGAAAGCTCAAATGGGTCTGTCTAATCAGAGTAATCTCCTGAAGGTTGAATTCTGCTGCCCACTGTGTCCAGCTCTCCTTTCTATAAAAAAATAGCTTTGCTCTCCACCAATGGTTTTATCTGTTGTAAAACAGTATCAACCTGTGTAACCAATGTTGACACAAATATGTATAAAAGTAACCCTCTCTCTCGGGTCTGGGCCTAAGCTTTGATATATCTGACACATAATCTACATATGATAAAACTGTACCTAATTTCACCACTCCTAAGTATTGCTTGTCTTCTCTATGCCTGGAGTAAAACCAGATTTCTGTTACAACCACAGTTCCTTTTACCTAGAGTATCTGGTCCATCTTTCAGAAAAAAATTTGAAGTCATACTAGAAAAAAATAAGTTTGAATAGATCAAGTAAAAATCAAAACCAGAGTTAAATATGGCAAAAATACTGGAATTATCAGTTATTTTAATAAAGCAATGATTGGGACATCCCTAGTGTCACAATAAGTTAAAAGCACAGTACTATGAAGCTATGGGCAGCTACTGCAGTCTGAGTTCAATCCCTGGCCAAGAAGGTGACCCACATGGCGCAGCAGACCTCTCGTCTCGCCAACTGCTCCCTTCGGCAATACATTTTGGTTAACCTGCCTGTTCTCTGGTGAATCCTCACCTTCCATGCTTCTGGCCTGCACCTCAGTTCTTGTATGCATAAATGACTCTTAAAAAATTAAAAAATGGGTCCTCTGTGGCAGCACAGCGGGTTAAAGCTCAGCACTGAGAAGCTAATGCCACTTCAGTATGAGTTCAATCCACACCCTGGAGGTATCCACATGGCTCAGCAGACCTCTCCTGACCTGCCCGCTGCTCCCCTCAGCAGCGTACTTCATCATTCGGCCTGTTCTGCTCCCCACTCTGTCTCTGGTGAATCTTCTCACCACCCCTGCACCTCTGGCCTATGCCCCAGTTCTGTTTGAATAAATATCTTTTTTAATTAAAAAATAAAAAGCTATGATTAAAATGCCTCAGATTTTAGTGGAAAAAGCAATCTGCAAGGACAGATGACAAATATAAATAAACACACAAGCAAAAAGTCTACAGACTCACATGCACTTGGGTGATTGTGGTTTGTCAATGCAGGTTCATCAACTGTAACTCTCTACTATGAAATGTTGATAATAGCAAAAAAAAAAAGTGATGTGAACTGCAACTCCTCAACCTTTCATGTCTTTTTTTTCTAAAGGTTTATTTTTATTTATGCATACAATAACTAGAGTGTAGACCAGAGGTGGGGGGGGGTGGTAAGAGAATTCACCAGAGACAGAGTGGGGAGCAGAACAGGTGGAATACACTGCTGAGGGGAGCAGCAGTGCAGCGGGATTCACCAGAGACAGAAAGGGGTCACAATGGGCAGATAACACTGAAATCCACTGCCAAGGGGAGCATCAGGGAGAAAGAAGAGGTCTGCTATGCCATGTGTCACCACCCTGGCCAGGGATCCTACTCAAGTGGCAATGGCTATAGATAGCTTCATAGTGCTGTGCTTGAACCCTCTGCGCTACCAGGGAAGTCCCTCCTACATGACCTGACAAGTGCTGTCCTTAACCACCTGTACCTCTCACCATTTTCCTCCCTACACTTTATACTTTTGTTGAGTCCAGACTAAAGTTCATGTTTTTATCTTATTAGTATGACTGTTCTACACACTATAATATTTTTCCACTTGTAAAACATGAATGGTTCCAGTCTTGTAAATGTGGAATAAATACACTTCAAGACTCTAACCAACTTGTCTCGCTCATTGAAAGAAAAAAAAAACAGTAGATGAAAGGGCCTCCCTGGTGGCACAGAAGTTAAAGACAAAGCACTATCAAGCTACTGCCAGCCACTTAGAGCTGCCCAGGGAGATTACCCACATGACACAGCAGACCTCTCCTGTCTCCCCCAATGCTCCCCTCAGCTGTGTGTATCAGTCAATCTTCCTGTTCTCCCTGCTCTGCCTCTGGTGAATCCTCTTACCCCCTCCCTCCCCCCACACTTCTGGCCTAGTTCTTGTGTGCATAAATAAATCTTTAAAAAAAAAAAAAGTGGATAAAATGCACAGAACAGGTATGGGCATTCTCTAAAAAGCACACACCACCACACTGAGTGGGGAAGGAAAGTGAAATTCAAATCAACCCTAAACTGGTGCCCAGTTGCTTGGATTCTTATTCCTTGTACAGTCTCTCCACAACTAAACTAAATTCAAAAGCAGTTTGGAAGCAAACAGTATGGGAAGAAATCTCCAACAGAAGCCACCTGAAGAATGGGGAAGACAGCTGAAGTCAGAGATGCCTGTCTTTTGTTCTTCATTTTCCATTCTCTCCTGTCCAACCCCAAGGCATACTGCAGCAACAATGACCACACAGGCCGTTAAAAAGTACAAATGCTGGATAACTGTTCTCTCTGAACAAAAAACTCTATAGTCCCAAGAGCAGAAGGAAATACCCATTTCCTCTTTCTATCCCTAACTTGACACAGCTGCAGGAAGTACAGAAAAGATGGGAAACTAAAGGTCTGGCATTTAACCCAACACACCTCAAAATGAGGCCCTCAGAGTCAAAATAAGGTCAGGGGAACTGTGAAGGAAGGGAGCAAAAGAAAGCAATCCCGGGAGTTGTGCATGAAATGCTGATGCCACACCTAACCATGTTTGCATGAATATGACCCTAAATATAGCATACTGAAAAAGTGTAGGAACTGAAACTCAGAGGAACCTACAGCCCAAGTTCTAGAAAGAGGTGAATATGCACACTATATACCACAGACCTACCGTAGTTTTGAAAACTGAACTTTCATTGGAAACAGACACAGAAGGCAGATTACAACTACCCATAATAGCAGCCCACTTAAATAAAGTTAACATCTCAACAGAAATTAGTCAAGGCCCAAAGTCTTAAAATATAATCAAAATTAGTAAGTGACAATCCAAAATTATAGACCATTGAGAGAAACAAGGAAAACTTCATTATCTAACAGGGAAAAAATAATCTAGCTCTAAACCACGTTTACACAGCATTTAATACATAAACAGTATATTAAAAGATACATTAAGCAAAACTTATGTTTTGGTGTGACATAAGAGTAATGAGTTAATAGATACAAGAGTAATGAATTAATCTTTCCAAAATGACTAAACAGAACCACAACATGAAGGAGAAGCATTCATGCCTTGTTTTCGGTAATAGAAACCTACCAGATTTAAGAACCGGTGCAGAAATTTAACAGAAATGAAATTCAGAGCTGCAACATGAATGAAATGAAATTCCCTCTGTTAACAGTGGTAGGAAAAAAGGACATGTCTCTATTGGGAAAGTATGCGACAAAAGTGCAGTGGGTGTGAAATGGCCTCTACTATTTTTATAGTCTCTACAAGTGTCTCTTCTTTAAGGAAAAGCATTCCTAACAACCTATAAAAAAAAAAAAAAAATACTGCTTTCTGGCCCTCCCTAGTGGCACAACAGGTAAAAGCCCAGCACTAGAAAGCTAGCTGCAACTGCTTCAGAACATGCTTCATTACCAGTTTGCTCCCCAGCCAGGGAGGTGACCTTCATGGTGTAGCAGACCTCTCCTGTCTTGCCCACTGCTCCCCTCAGCAGTGTGTTTCAGTAGATCTGCCTGCTCTGCTGCCCACTCTGTCTCTGGTGAATCCTCTCACTGCCACTGCACCTCTGGCCTCTACCCCAGTTCTGTCCACAGAAGTAAATCTTTAAAAAAAAAAAAAAAAGATCATTTTCCTGCCATCTTGTTAACTCACTCACCTGAAAAGACATCTGCTCTCCCAGCTCCTCTCCCCAACCAGGGCTCTTTACCTTGTTCCAATAAGGAAACCACATCTGGCTTTGAAATGTCAAGACCTGCTCACAGAAAATGAAATAAATTTAGAATGGTTCTCCAGCCCTCATAAACGGACTAGTCAAAGGACCGCCAGACGCGAGCATGAAAGCTCCATGAGGAGGCGACCGGTGTCTGAACAGCCAGAAATAAGAGCCAACAACCCGGCGCTCCCGCCCCCAGCGACTTTCCGGCCCTCCGACGGGGACTCACCCAAGGACACCAGGTGGCCGTAGGTCTCCAGCGTCACCCGCCGGTACAGCTCTCGCTGCGCCGGCCGCAGCCGCGCCCACTCGTCCCGCGAGAAGTCCACTGCCACGTCTCCGAACGTCAACGGCCCCTGCGGGGACACAGGCGTCTACTCGGCCCCGCGCCGTTACCAAGGCGGCAGCGAGCCCGCCGCTCTCTGGACACCAGGGCCGAGCCCTGCCTGGGCCGCCGCGAGCCTGGGAAGGACAGAGCCGTGCGCACAGCCGGCTGTCCCTGCGGTTCAGGTAGGGAAGATACTCGGGATCCCCCACCTCAGGACAAAGACGACACCCCTTCCTGTCCGCCAGCCGCGGCCCCACGGCTGCCCACGCGCTCGCGACGCTTCCCGGGTCGGGACAGCAGAACCGGAGCCGAGAGAGCCAAGCCGGTCCCCGCCAAGCCCAGGAAGCCGCCGTGAGCATGGGCGCGTTTGAGCAGCGGTGCCACAGGGTTGCGGGGGCTCACGAGGGTTCCCGGGGGGCCGGGGGACCCGGGCGCCCCGCACCACCAAGTCCGGGCTTAACGCGGAGCAGCGGAAACGGAGCCGCAGCACCGGCCGATCCCGCCACTTACCCGCGCCAGCAGCCGCTACTCTGACTGGGCCAGGCCCACACGCCCGTTGGCCCCACCCGCTCCCGACGGCCCCGGCCGGCTCACCTGCGACATTGCGCTCGCGAGCCGCCGCCGCAGTCAGCTCTGCTCCCGAGACCCTGCGGTGGCGTGGCGTCCGCCCCTGGCAAGCAGGCCGCGCGCACATAAACTACACTTCCCGCGGCCTCCGCGCGTGGGCGGAAACGCCCACATAAACTACACTTCCCAGAAGGCCGCGCGCCCAGACGGCTGACCTCTCCTGACTACGTCTCCCAAAAGGCGCCAGGCGCCCGAACCTCGGATCTCACATTACCGCCCAGAAGGACGTGCGCACGCGCCGAGAGCCTGCCAGAACTCCACCTTCCAGTAGCGCCCTGGCCGCCAACCCTTAATGTCCACATTCCGCAGCAGCGGCCGGACCCCGCGCCTGCCCATCGCTCAGTCTCTACGCCCTGCCTAAGGTGCAGCGATGCTAGAGCTCCTCGAGCAAACAACGTACTGGCCCCGCTGTTGTCCGACCCAGGAAAGTGCGGGTCGTTCCGGCTAGATGCTTTGTGGCGTCCGGTGTGAAGACGGACGTGGCGGCCGCGATAAGCAGAAGCGCTGGGAAGGAGGGTGGAACTGAGGCCGGATGGCCTGGCCCGGCTGACGGCGCGATGCTCGGTACAGCAGAAGACTCTGATGTGCATTTGGTGCTGCACGTTAAGGGGAAAGGAAGGAACGTTTAAAATCGGACCTGGGCCTTCCGGGGAGGGCAGGGGTTAAGAAGTCTCAGCACTGTGAAGTTACAGCAGTGTCTTTCAGTAGATCAGCTTTCCACTTTTGTCTCCAGCGAGTGCTCTCACCCCCTACATCTCTGGCCTACATCCCAATTCTCGTATACGTAGATAAATCTTAAAAAAATAAAATCAGGCCCTCCCTGGCGACACAGTGGGTTAGAGGGCCAAGAAGCTAAACCAAGCAATCCCTGCCCAGGAGTTGACCCACATCGAGTGCAGACCTCTCCTGTCTGCCCACTACTCCCCTCTGCAGTATACTTTGTCTGTCCACCTGTTCTGCTCCCCTCTGTCTCTGGTGAATCCTCTTAACCACCCCTGCACCTCTGGCTGTACCCCATCTCTGTATTCATGAATAAATAAATATTTAATAAAATCAGATAAATACGGGGCGGGGGGGGGGGAGAACCTCCCCACAGCCAGAGCCAAGGGCACTCCAGAACCCGAAGCAGAGGAGGGACCCGCAGCGACAGTATCACTTTGCACGGGGAGAGTAAAGAGGGCATTAGACCCGCAGGGATGGTGTGTCTGGCTGCCACACTGCAGTGACTGGGTCACCTGTGCCCGACTTAAGAGGTGGGAATCGCCCCCAACCCCCAGGGCTAAGGTTGAATAGAACGTGAGGATCCCACTAGCAGGGAACCAGCTAATGCGTCTCACCTTCCCCCAGTATCAGTGGAGGCAGAAATGGTTGCAAGTGGTTGGCAGCTATCGCAGCAACTGCACTTGGGTCATCTGGCAAGGAGAGGCAGGGTAGCCCTGGTAGGACTGAGGACTGCACTGAGATGGGGACAGGTCACTGGGGGGTCTCGCCCGTGTTCAATGGCAAGAGCACAGGGCAACCCAGTGTGAACTGGGCTGCCTGCGGGTCTTCACCCAAGCGCTTAAAATTTAATTGTACTGCAGGTACACACAAAAGAGTCAATACTGGTTTATTATTTAGAAAGGGGGGAAAGGAAAGGCACAACCCAGGGAAAGAGAAAGAGATACAAGGTAACTAGAATATCTTACCAGGTAGGCTTACTTGGAGCTCTAGTATCAAACTGATAGCCACAATCACACTGTCCCTAGAGAGCTGTTGCCAGAGCCCCAGCCATTGAAAATAGCTCCCTATTTATCCACCAAAGTCCCAGAATGCCTGCTTGGCTCCAGCCTTGGGTCCTCCCAGTTCTGTCCTTGGCTGGGAGTCGTAGTTTCCAATCACTGGAGTAGGGGGTGGAGTCCAGAAAGCTTAAGTAGGTGGAGTCCACAAAAATGCAGTTCCTCTAGGACATCCTTTCCTCTTAACACACCTACAGCAGGTTTTATTACAAAGGAAAAGGACATTGGCAGAAAAGAGGCCCACGGGGGACAGTGGTTCCAATCACCAGGGCCCAGGTCAAGATCTCTGCCTTCCCAGTAGAGAGCATCACTGCTATCGGGGCAACCCTGGGCCAGGTGGCACCTAAGGGGTAGAGCAGAGCTACTGGGGCAATAGCCATGGCTCCACTCTCCAAGGCTAGGCACAAGGCCCACCCAGACAGCTCTGTACACACACTTGGCAAGTTCAATTGTGATGTCAGGTCAGGTTGGCTGAGGCACCAGAGATTCAGCACTACAGCCCAGTGAGGTCTCCATTGACAAATTTGACTCTCCAGCTGCCTCTTCAAGCCTTCTTCCAGGTGTCCTCACCACACTCCCCCTGCCAAGTTGGGAGTTGGCTGGGCCAGGCTTAAATATTCTCTAGGCTGGCCACCTTTTGAACCTGATGGGTCTTTTTAGTGGGATGTTGTATGTGAACAGCTGCCAGGTGGAGCAAGGCCCCTGCTCCAACCCCAGGCCCCAACCCCAGCCTTGTGGGCGGTGCTGGTCAAGTGTCTATCAAATCAGTCCATTCCTAACACTGTTCCGGAGCCTGATATGTACGGGAAAGGTCTAGCCCTTGCCCAGACTGGTCCTGCAGAAGGGTCTGGCAGCCTCCTGAGCTGGAGGCAAACTGCCCCAGACCCCTGGATGGTGCTGAGCCTAATAATTAGGCTCCAGGACCCTGCCTGAAACTGACTCACAGGTGAATGGCATGGGTGGCTCTGCTGGGGATTAGAGAGAAAGATGGGGCTAACGGTCTGTCATAGGGGAGGATGGATGGGGAGATGGGTTAGGTGCAAACAAATGTGTTAATACTCATCAAGACCATCTGGCCAGTTACTTGCCACCACAGTGCTGGCACAACAGGCACGTGAGATGGTGGCCATGGAGGCAGAGCTCACACAGGCCAACAGGGCAGGCTTCTGCCCGCTCCCAATAAGACACACGCAGCTTCCCAACACAGCACCCTTCTTGAGGAGCCTGTTAAATGGCTCACAGTTGTGACCCTGGAAAAGCTCCCAGCTTTCCTCGTAGAATACACACAACTGGTAGGAACATACTTCCCACCCACATGGTCTGAGGCAGCAGCATCACCCTAGAGCTAACCAAGTGTCTGAGGAACTTGTCCAGAACCCCAAATCAGACCAGAGGCCCCTTTGAAGTACAGTGCATGGTGAACATGTGCAGTACAAAGGGACCTGCTGGACAGCACACACCTACACACCTAGCCAGAGAGCACTGGGCAGTTGAGGAAGGTGCCGCGGAAGCCACATTCCTCCAGGTACTGGAGGGGAGACGAAGATGGTACTGTCTCCCAAGGGAAAAAATATACCTGAGTACTGTGTGTGCAAGCAGGGACAGCCTCATCTACTGCCATTACCCATGATCCTCTGAGAATGCTCCCCACCCACCCATCTGGCCTCCACAGGGTTGCAGGGCGTGGACCCAGAGAGAATACCTTTTGAGTTTTCTATTTCACTTCATGCTACAGCTACAATGTAGATGCTGTGGCATACTGTCTTGTGTGTGATGCCAGTTGTTTATTTCAGGGAAGGTTGGGGGAAATAGCTCCTTCATGAAAAGAAACAGCTGTTCCTGCTGATAAGAGACTGGGCAGTAGCTCCCAAGCCCAAGCTGGGCCATTCCATTCACTATGTTCACACTCAAGCCATGGTTTCAGAAGACCCTGAAGGGCCTGCCCTTAGCCAGCCCAGCTAATGTTTCTAGCTGGGAGGCCAGCAGGCTGTTGCTTCCTGATCCTTTGGGAACATATCATCAGGCTCCTGGCCCACTGGTGGGCAGACACACCTGTGTCCCCCTACCCTGGCTGCCCCTTCTGTCCCAGTCCTCAGGGCAGGTGTGTGCCTTCTATCTGGCCTGGCCAGTGGAGGAGCTGCTGGGGCTGTGGCAACAGGGCTCACACCCTGAGGAATAACCTGGTGTCAGCCCAGACCTGCCCTACAGTCGGTAGGCATCTGGCCTGAAGGGCTCTAGGGAGCTCCACAGCCAGAGGCAAATGCCCTGACGCCCTGAACAGGACTTGCATCAGCACTAGCAAGTGAACCCCAAGTCAGCAGCATCTGGAGGGGGTAACACAACTGGACAGACATCCACAGCGGGAGCGAGCCATCCCTTCTCCTGGTCTCCTGAGGACAGAACATGGGGAGAGGGCCTGAGCCTGGAGAGAGTGAATGGGTACTCAAAGGTGGGGCCCCAGGCCCGTTGGGGAGGCCTTCCTGCACAGCTGGGTAGCAGTCAGTTCCAAGAGCTGGCCTCCCAGCCCAGAAGCTCCTGTCCAGGCACAGACAAGACAACCCCTTGGGCACTCCCCCAGCTTAGCTGAGTCTCAAGTTAAGATACAGCTTCAGTTCTACTTGGATCTTCTTTCCAGTTTATTTTCCCATCACTTTACCCCTACTGACCTGCTTCTGACTTGAGAAACAGCCCGGCTTCCTGTCAGAAATATTTGTGACAAACAGAGCTTGAAGCAGTTGAGGCAAACACAGGAGTTTATTACAGTGCCAGAACAGCTGTCCGGCCTAACAACGGCCTTCAGAAGGGCTGGGCTGAACATGGATATCAAGGCGCAGACAGTAAGCATGTTCAAGATTAGGTTGTTTTTGCTTTGTCTTGCTTTTTACATCTTTTGAGTATTTTATTTCCTTGAGATTACTTTTAACTGTCCCCCCCTTATATTCTTTTGACCCACTGCACCCTACCCCGCAAACTGTTTCTTTACTTGCTTCCATTGTGGCTTTGTCCTCGCATCACAGACAATGCATCCCTCGTGGTACAAAGCATAGCCACTGAGCAACCCCACCTATGGCTGGGAAGCATTACAGCTTCAGCTGCTAAAATAAAATGGACAGACAAGACATACCAAGCTTCCTGGAAGCTGATGGAGAACCTAAAACACGCAGGAATCATGCACCCATGATGACAAGCACATGTGCACACATGCAAGTTTACATGGACTGAACGAACAAGGGCATTTCAGTGTCAGACTTACAGAAGTGGAAGATGAAAGGTGGTAGGAATTTCAAGGAACTGCAAATAGTTCAAGGTAACACATACAACACACTGTAGGATGAAAGATAAAGTGTTCAAAACTGGAGATGCATGCACATGTGTGAAGTCCACAAACAGGCTATTTTTTGAACCCAAAGCAAACCAGTGTTTCGAGGGTGTCAGAACTGCATCTTAAACACTAAGTACAGGTGTGAAAAACTGACTTAAAAAGCACACTTGCCAGGTGTGGGAGTAGTCACACAGTTACAGGGAAAGCAGAGGAGCTTCTGGATCAGCAGCTGGGCAGGGCAAGGCACAAGATGCCAGCCATGTTACTACAACGCTTTAACAAGCAGCCCAACACTGGGGCAAAGGACCCAATGAGACCACAAATGTCCATCCCAATGCCTGCTGGTTGGTGTTACCTACTAAGGGTATTATTGTCAGACCTGGCATTCTCTGGATTCATTTTATCTCAAGGTTGTACAGCAATGTTCTTGAAACAATTAGGGATCTATACAGAGAAGCCCAACAGAAGGTATCAAAGCCCGCAATGAAAAGCTCAACAAAGTCATTACTGGGACGGGTCCCTAAGGTCAATATGAGCCTTGAAAACACCCACTCGGTACAAGGAATCATGACTGCAGAATTTGCTTGACTCCAGAGCAAGAGCCTCACAATGAGAT